CAGTTTGTCTGTCAGCGCTGTTTAACACACACACACACACACACACACACACACAGGCTTGAGCTCGGCCTCAGATCGTGTTCCTGACATCACTGCGTGTAGAAGTTCAGTTTGGGATTATATACAGTAATGTTCACTTTGGAGACTGCATAAATATACAGGTGAAACTCTGAGAAATTAGAATATGGTGTAAAAGTTAATTTATTTCAGTAATTCAACTTAAAAGGTGAAACTAATATATTATATAGACTCATTACATGCAAAGTGAGATATTTCAAGCCTTTATTTGTTATAATTGTGATGATTATGGCTTACAGATATGAAAACCTTTTCACAATATTCTAGTTTTGAATTTGGGGGTTTCATAAGCTGTAAGCCATAATCATCACAATTATAACAAATAAAGGCTTGAAATATCTCACTTTGCATGTAATGAGTCTATATAATATATTAGTTTCACCTTTTAAGTTGAATTACTGAAATAAATGAACTTTTGCACCATATTCTTATTTTTCGAGTTTCGCCTGTACATAAACGGACGGTTTACTGTTTCCGATGTTTTTCGAAGTGTACATCCATCTCAGAAAGAGCTGAACGATTCTGAATAAATTGAGAATCAAGACTTTGTTTAAAATGGAGAACAGGATTGTTTCACGATTCTTATCAGACAACTAAACAGAATAACATGTAATTTACTGACAATATGTTAATTGCTGCAGTCTATTTTAAAAATGCTTCATTAATTTGATGAAAACAAATTTAAATAAACGATTTGAGTGAATGATTCAATGACTCACCCATAAAGACTTCATTACTGGATGAATCAGTGTTTTTGAACGAATCTCTTGAATGAATGATTCAATGACTCACTCATAAAGACTTCATTACTGGATGAATCAGTGTTTTTGAATGAATCTCTTGAATAAATGATTCAATGACTCACTCATAAAGACTTCATTACTGGATGAATCAGTGTTTTTGAACGAATCTCTTGAATGAATGATTCAATGACTCACTCATAAAGACTTCATTACTGGATGAATCAGTGTTTTTGAACGAATCTCTTGAATGAATGATTCAGTGACTCACTCATAAAGACTTCATTACTGGATGAATCAGTGTTTTTGAATGAATCTCACTTCACTTGTCTCCACCTACTGGTGTAACGATGTAATTGATACAATCTTTATTTAGTCTATTTTGATCACGATCACAGACTACCATCAGTGTTATATCTGAACTATAATCTTATATCCCAGTGCTTCTGATTAATGTTTGTAACACAGAAATAATGATACTTTCATGACAACTGCTCTCTCTGGATCAGAGCCGCAGATTTGATTGTTCAAAATTGTGTGATTGATTGATTGTCTATTGTTGTCATCTTTCAGACTAGTGGAAGGAAAACATACAAAACACACTTTAAAAAATAAATCCGTAAATAACAGAAAAAGCTCATTACCCGGAAATTACGCAGTAGTTTTACGGATATTGCCGTTACACTAAAACAAAAAAAATTCAAAATACAGGGAAAAAACCGTGTAAAATATAATAACGGAAAATTCCTGTTAAATGAATACAGTACATTGTGCCCTATTTTTATGGATTTTTGGGTTTTAGTGTATATGAGACAGTGAAGTGAGAAAGATTTGATGATGATGTAATCACAGATGTGTGTGTGTGAGACTGATCACATGAGGAAGCGTTTCTAGGGTCATGTGCACAAATGAAATGAAGCTCTCTCTCTCTCTCTCTCTCTCTCTCTCTCTCTCTCTCTCTCTCTCTCTCTCTCTCTCTCTCTCTCTCTCTCGCTCTCTCGCTCTCTCGCTCTCTCGCTCTCTCTCTCTCTCTCTCTCCCTCCCCTCTCTCTCTCGCTCTCTCTATCTCTCGCTCTCTCTCTCCCTCTCTCTCCTCTCTCTCTCTCTCTCTCTCTGTCTCTCTCTCTCTCTCTCTGTCTCTCTCTCTCTCTCTCTCTCTCTCTCTCTATCTCTCTCTCTCTCTCTCTCTCTCTCTCTCTCTCTCCCTCTCTCTGTCTCTCTCTCTCTCTCTCTCTTCTCTCTCTCTCTCTCTCCCTCTCTCTGTCTCTCTCATCTATCTCTCTCTCTCTCTCTCTCTCTCTCTCTCTCCCTCTCTCTGTCTCTCTCTCTCTCTCTCCTCTCTCTCTCTCTCTCTCTCTCTCTCTCTCTCTCTCTCTCTCTCTCCTCTCTCATGAACTCTAGTGAATCTGAGCATTGAGCGTTCGCTCCAGGCGTAGCGGTGTGTTTACTGTAGCGTCTCACACACACACACACACACACACACACACACACACACACACACACAACCGCTGTGATTACATGAGCGGTGTAGAAACGGCCCCGGGGCCGCTGGACCCCTGAGAGAGACCACCTCTGACATATTGTTCAATCCGTCTCTTTCTTGTTTTTTTTATAACCTTGATGTGTGTCATTTGGTGTTTTAATAGTGAGCAATAATTATAAATTCTTATGTCTCTCTTTGGCGAAAATCTACATATTACTTTTTTTTTTTTAATGTTTTTATAAATCATTACTATTGGACACCCTTAACGTCTGTCTTTGTTTAAATATTTGCAAAACCCAATGAAAAGTATTTAAAAAAGCTTGTGACTAAATCTCGTTACTCCATTGGCTCCTCAAACTGTCAGTCAATCCTCATAACTCTCATATATATATAAGATATTTATATATATACATATATATATACACTCACCGGCCACGTTTATTAGGTACCCCATGCTAGTAACGGGTTGGACCCCCTTTTGCCTCAGAACTGCCTCAATTCTTCGTGGCATAGATTCAACAAGGTGCTGGAAGCATTCCTCAGGGAGTTTGGTCCATATTGACATGATGGCATCACACAGTTTGCCGCAGATTTGTCGGCTGCACAATCCATGATGCGAATCTCCCGTTCCACCACATCCCAAAGATTGCTCTATTGGGTTGAGATCTGGTGACTGTGGAGGCCATTTTAGTACAGTGAACTCATTGTCATGTTCAAGAAACCAATTTGAAATGATTAGAGCTTTGTGACATGGTGGAAGTAGCCATCAGAGGATGGGTACATGGTGGCCATAAAGGGATGGACATGGTCAGAAACAATGCTCAGGTAGGCCGTGGCATTTAAAACGATGCCCAATTGGCACTAAGGGGCCTAAAGTGTGCCAGGAAAACATCCCCACACCATTACACCACCACCCACCAGCCTGCACAGTGGTAACAAGGCATGATGGTTCCATGTTCTCATTCTGTTTACGCCAAATTCTGACTCTAACATCTGAATGTCTCAACAGAAATCGAGACTCATCAGACCAGGCAACATTTTTCCAGTCTTCAACTGTTCAATTTTGGTGAGCTCTTGCAAATTGTAGCCTCTTTTTCCTATTTGTAGTGGAGATGAGTGGTACCCGGTGGAGTCTTCTGCTGTTGTAGCCCATCCGCCTCAAGGTTGTGCGTGTTGTGCTTCACAAATGCTTTGCTGCATACCTCGGTTGTAACGAGTGGTTATTTCAGTCACTGTTGCCCTTCTATCAGCTCGAACCAGTCTGGCCATTCTCCTCTGACCTCCTGGCATCAACAAGGCATTTCGCCCACAGAACTGCCGCTCACTGGATGTTTTTTCTTTTTCGGACCATTCTCTGTAAACCCTAGAGATGGTTGTGCGTGAAAATCCCAGTAGATTAGCAGTTTCTGAAATACTCAGACCAGCCCTTCTGGCACCAACAATCATGCCACGTTCAAAGTCCACTCAAATCACCTTTCTTCCCCATACTGATGCTCGGTTTGAACTGCAGGAGATTTGTCTTGACCATGTCTACATGCCTAAATGCACTGAGTTGCCGCCATGTGATTGGCTGCTTAGAAATTAAGTGTTAACGAGCAGTTGGACAGGTGTACCTAATAAAGTGGCCGGTGAGTGTATATATATAGAGGGAGAGAGAGAGAGAGAGAGAGGGAGAGAGCACAAGCATGTTGTTATCTTAAAATAGAAACTGTAATGCTCAATTGTATGTTTTTATTATTGCTTTTTTTTATCAATTATTGAATATGTAATTTATTTAGTGTCAAAGTTTGTCTGTTATTTATCTGTGTTTTGAAGTCAGTTTAGGTGTTATTGCATAAATATTTTGGTTGTTGTGATATTTCCTGCTGTGTGTGTGTGTGTGTGTAGTGTGTGTGTGTGTGTGTGTGTGTGTGTGTGTGTGTGTGTGTGGGTGTAACATTTTAGTTCAATAAACAAGTAGTTAATATTAAATTACTTAAATTATAACATATACACTACCGTTCAAAAAGTTTGGGGTCAGTGAGAATTTTATTTTTATTTTTTGGAGGAAAGAAATCAATACTTTTATTTATCAAGGACAGTAAAGACATTTATAATGTTACAAAAGATTCTATTTCAAACAAATGCTGTTCTTTTGAACTTCCTATTCATCAAAGAATCCTAAAAAAAACAAAAAAACTGTACAACTGACAGACCAACAACTGTTTCAACATTGATAATAATAATAAATGTTTCTTGAGCATCAAATCCTCATATTATACTGATTTGTGAAGGATCATGTGACACTGAGACACTGACACTGGTGATGCTGAAAATTCAGCTTTGATCACAGGAATAAATTACACTTTACTATATATTCACACAGAAAACAGCTGATTTACACTGGAATAATATTTAATACTATAACTGATTTTTGTTGTATTTTTAATCAAATAAGCGCAGCCATGGTAAGAGAATTCTTTTAAAAGTATTTAAAATCGTACCGACCCCAAACTTTGAACGGTAGTGTATGTATGTAATATAATGTTTCCATCACAGGTTTGGTCTTAGATTTAATTCAAAGTGGCATTAAAAAGGTCTTAAAAAAGTCTTAAATGTAACTTGTTTATATCTGTAGACACCCTGAGACTGTGTGTTGCATTGACTGATATGAACACGTGACTCAGACTGTGTGTGTTGTGTGTGTGTGTGTGGCAGGTTCAGCTCCAGCAGCACTATGACCGATGGAGATTACGACTATCTGATCAAACTCCTGGCTCTGGGAGACTCCGGAGTGGGCAAGACCACCTTCCTCTACCGCTACACCCGACAACAAGTTCAACCCCAAGTTTATCACCACCGGTGGCATCGATTTCAGGGAAAAGAGAGTGGTTAGTGTCCGCGCGCCGCAGTGTGTGTGTGTGTGTGTGTGTTTAGACCGGATGAGGGTTTCACGACCCGTGAGTTATGAGCTTTGATCTGTCCTGTGAGGTCGACCCTCCATCCTCATGTAATTGGCTCATAAGTCTGTGTGTGTGTGTGTGTGAGAGGGTGATAAAGTTATTGCTGCGGATCATAAAGTGTGAAGAGCCGCACACAATGGACTTCACACACACTCCAGCTCCTCTCTCACTGCACTGAAGCTGCGCCTGCGGGAGCGATGAGTTCAGGCGTTCACTGAGATGCTGACGTTGTCTTATGAAGCTTTCAAGAGATCTGTGAAGACTACAGCTCTCTCTCTCTCTCTCTAGAGCTCTCTCTCTCTCGCTCGCGCTCTCTCTCTCTCGCTCCGTCTCTCTCTCTCTCTCTCTCTCTCTCTCTCTCGCTCGCGCTCTCTCTCTCTCGCTCCGTCTCTCTCTCTCGCTCCGTCTCTCTCTCTCTCCCTCTCTCTCTCTCTCTCCGTCTCTCTCTCTCTCTCTCGCTCTCTCTCTCTCTCTCTCTCTCTCATCGCACTCTCTCTCTCGTCTCTCTCTCTCTTCTCTCTCTCTCTCTCTCTCTCTCTCGCTCCGTCTCTCTCTCTCTCTCTCTCTCTCTCTCCGTCTCTCGCTCTCTCTCTCTCTATCTCGCTCCGTCTCTCTCTCTCTCTTTCTCTCTCTCTCTCTCTCTCTCGCTCCGTCTCTCTCTCTCTCGCTCCGTCTCTCTCTCTCTCTCGCTCTCTCTCTTCTCTCTCTCACTCTCTCTCTCTCTCTCTCTCTCTCTCTCTCTCTTGTTGTTTTTGTGTAAAATGGCTTAAAAGACTGAAGGGAGAGGTTTTCTTTTATTCATTTACATTATGTCTATATATACTTAGATCATTTTCATGTGTAAATGCAGGTAATATAAAAAAATAATAATATATGAAATTCGATGTATGAAAAATGCTTCATGAGGGATTTTGGCTAGTGACTGTCTCTCTCTCTCTCTCTCTCTCTCTCTCTCTCTCTGTTTTTGTCTAAAATGGCTTAAAATGGTTCATTGTTATTTATAAATGCATTAAAGGTGCTATATGTATTTTTAGCGGCCTCTATCGGTGATGTTTCAGATTGCAACCAATTTTTACAAGAGCGCTCGTGCTCGAACACAAGAGCGATCACTCATGGTACCGGCCACACTGAGACTTTACACACACCGGAGAAAGCATCACACAACATGCTGGAAACTCATGTAAACTCCCACTGGCAACGTTACAATAATAGGCTACTTTCATCAGCTTGACGTTGAGCTAATGCTCCATGCTCGTACCATGATAACGTTACATTGACTGCATTTAGCCGACCATGTGGTGTTATCTAGCATAAGGCATTTCACGAACTATTCGTGTATCTTTCACAATCAGCAATGTCACCATAGGTGAATGTATAATATGATAACGAAAACGGTTAGTGAACTAGATTGAACAATGTCAGTGTAACAGTAAGACAGTAGGAAGTAACATTACTGTACTGAACGTGTCGGAAATGTTTATTATGCAATATGATAGTAGTGGGATGAGTGACGTTAAGACAGTAGATCTAGTACATAAATCAAAGTTACATCCTAAAGCACCTACTTTTTGTTATCCTGGAACAGTCTTTTGTATTCATTTCATGTCTCATATATGTTGTAGTTTATCTTGATATTTCATTACAGTTTACCATTATTTATTTCAGCATATCTGAAAACTTGTCATTTATCAGAATAAAAATTGCGGAGGTCTCTCCATAATTCAAACGCTCTGCCGATGTTGATCCGTGTTTTCGTCCTAAGTCGATCCGATTCACGTTTGCCTGACGAGCTTCAGCAGATACATTTTTGTTTTTAGTTTTGTATATTAATGTGGAGTTTGTGTTGGAGTGTGTGTTGTGCTGGAGGCAGGTGGTTTGTTGGTGGTTATCAGACTCCATGTCGTCAGCTGCAGTGCCGTCGCATAGACTGTATATAAGAAGGAGAGAGTTTTGGAGGCGCGCATGCACGACACATCCGATGGCTTTCGCAGAAAATCCGACCCGGAGACTTCATATAGAAATATGAATACTGGCCTTCAGAGGTAATAGCAAAACCCGACAAGTGGATCATTGTAATGTGTGATTACAACCCCTTCACACACAGGCAATAAAAAAAGGATTCATTTAGAAGAAAAGTTCCATAGAGCACCTTTAATGGAACAAAAAAAAATTTAATATTTGAATCACTACTCAAAATCCTTCATGAAGCATTTTTCATACATTCAATTTCATATATTAAAATTTGTTTTTGTTCTATTAATGCATTTATAAATAACAATGAACCAAGTATATATAAATATAATATAAATGAATAAAAGAAAACCTCTCCCTTCAATCTTTTAAGCTATTTTAGACAAAAACACGGAGAGAGAGAGAGAGACGGTCACTATCCAAAATCCTTCATGAAGCATTTTTCATACATTCAATTTCATAAATTAATTTTTATTGTTCTTTTGATGAATTGCAAAAAAAAAGCTGTTAGAGTGATATTTACACCTTTGAATCAGTTCAAACTTCACTGAATCAGTTCAAACTTCACTGAATCAGTTCAAACTTCACTGAATCAGTTCAAACTTCACTGAATCGATTCAAACGATGACTCACCAACTCCCTCGAGTCACTACCAAAAATCCTTCATGAAGCATTTTTCATACATTCAATTTCATATGAGTTGGTGATTCAGTTTTTTTTTATCGATTCAGTGAAGTTTGAACTGATTCAGTGAAGTTTGAACTGATTAAAAGGTGTAAATATCACTCTTAACAGTTTTTTTTTTTGCAATTCATCAAAAGAACAATTAAATTAATTTATGAAATTGAATGTATGAAAAATGCTTCATGAAGGATTATGGGTAGTGATTTGGTGAGTCAGCGTTTTGGATCGATTCAGAACAATAAAAAATGAATATATGAAATTGAATGTCTGAAAAATGTTTTATGAAGTGCTTTATGAATACTAATTCAAATGAGTTGGAGAGTCAGCGTTTAGAATCGTAATTTTAATACTTCAACTTATTTAATTTCAGTTAGTTGCTACATTTCAGTTTTTTATTCAAGTTTTTTAAGGTTTTATTCTAATATATATTTTATTTCGTCTTTATTTCATTAGCGAAGCGACTTCTAAAACAGATGTGTGTGTGTGTGTGTGTGTAACGGTCCACGACTGCAGCGCTTGCGTTAGGAAGTGCAGTTTGACAGTTTAGAAGAACGCAACAATTTCACTTTGACAGAGTTTGGAGGGTTTCAGTGTCTGGATTATATGAATGTACATGACTCACATTAACATAAGACCACACACACACACACACACACTTCCACCCACTGAACGAGTCTGATATGAGCCGATCTGGAAAAGATCGATAATGAGAATGAGGCCTGAGCTTCTCAAACACACTCACTTGTATGAATCATCAGAGTTCAGATTGTCAAGACTCTCTCTCACACACTCTCTCACACACACACACAAACGCACACACACACACACACACACTCTCTCTCTCCTCTCTCTCTCTCTCTCTCACTCTCTCTCTCTCTCAGACACACACAAACTCACACACACTCTCTCTCTCTCTCACACACACACACAAACTCATACACGCAGTCACACACACACACTCTCTCTCTCTCTCTCTCTCTCTCACTCACTCACTCACTCACTCACTCACTCACTCACTCTCACACACACACACACACACACTCTCTCTCTCACACACACACAAACTCATACACACACACTCTCTCTCTCTCTCTCTCTCTCTCTCTCTCTCTCTCTCTCTCTCTCTCTCTCTCCTCTCTCTCTCACACACACGCAGTCACACACAGTCACACACACAATATCACTCACTCACTCATCCATTTTATTCTCCAGATTTCCCATGATTAATCCTCCATGTTCTCCAACATTATAAACGTAATGAACCATATTTTGGTGATGTTTTACTGATCATCAATAAACACGGACTCCTCACACACTGCGTTTCCTCTGTGAATGCACACGATAATCTAGTGCTAGACACAATCCTGATGTATTTCGGGTGTTTTATGATCTTCTTCAGTTCACAGTATCTCCGAGCCTCTTTAAATGTCATAGATGAAGTGGGCAGGAAGACAGTGCGATGAAAGCATCTATCCCAGCATGCACTGCGGCTCCGCAGATCAATAACAGCGTCCATCTGAGCTAAACTGAACAGAAGTTCAGCAGGAATCTGATGCTTGAGAAGTTCGTTGTGTGTGTGTGTGAGAGTGCGTGGTGTGTGAGAGTGCGTGTGTGTGAGAGAGCATGTGTGTGTAAGAGTGCATGTGTGTGTGAGAGTGCATGTGTGTGTGAGAGTGCATGTGTGTGTGAGAGAGTGTGTGTGAGAGTGCATGTGTGTGTGAGAGAGTGTGTGTGAGAGTGCGTGCGTATGTGTGTGTGTGAGAGTGCATGTGTGTGTGAGAGAGTGCGTGTGTGTGTGGAGAGTGCGTGCGTATGTGTGTGTTGAGAGTGCATGTGTGTGTGAGAGTGCATGTGTGTGTGAGAGTGTGCATGTGTGTGTGAGTGCGTGTGTGTGTGTGTGTGTGTGTGTGTGAGAGAGTGCGTGTGTGTGAGAGAGTACATGTGCGTGTGTGTGTGTGTGTGTGAGAGAGTGCGTGTGTGTGTGTGGTGTGAGAGAGTGCATGTGTGTGTGTGTGTGTGAGAGTGTGCGTGCGTGTGTGTGTGTGTGTGAGAGAGAGTGCATGTGCGTGCGTGCGTGTGTGTGTGTGTGAGAGAGTGCGTGTGTGTGTGTGTGTGTGTGTGAGAGAGAGAGTGCATGTGCGTGCGTGCGTGCGTTTGTGTGTGTGTGTGTGAGAGAGAGTGCATGTGTGTGAGAGAGTGCATGTGTGTGTGTGTGTGTGTTCTGAACTGTATGTGTCAGGTAGGGTTCTGTCTGCTGATCTCTGATGCTCCTTCACACTGTTCCCTGTGTGAGATGTTGATCAGGTTTGGTTGTGTGTGTGTGTGTCTCCAGGTGTATACGACGAACAGCCCCAATGGAACGACAGGGAAGACGTTTAAGGTTCACCTGCAGCTTTGGGACACGGCGGGACAGGAGAGGTTTGAGTTCTTCATATTCATCATCAGCGAAAGCTCTTCGCGTCTCACTTTCCCGTCTCGACTTCATCTCCGGCTCTGGCAGCCAGACTTATATTTATTTTTAGATATTTCATATATAAAGATCCCATTTAGTTATTAAATATGAAGTTAAATTTAAACAAAATCCACCCTACTCACTTTGGTACTGTATTTATTTATTGAAATAAATTAACTTTTGCACGATATTCCAATTTTTCTGAGTTTCACCTGTAGTGTAAACCCAAACCCAATCATTTTAATCAATAATCAGCAAATAAAACATTTGTACTTGAGTATTGCAGTCGAGTGTGACTGAATGTTCCTGTGTTCTCGACAGGTTCAGGAGTTTAACCACAGCGTTCTTCAGAGACGCGATGGGATTCCTGCTCATGTTCGACCTGACGAGCCAACAGAGTTTCCTCAACGTCAGGAACTGGATGAGTACGTCTCTCAACTAGCCGTCGATAGCCAGATTAGCAGAACTGTGTGGGTTTGCTCGTTATAGAGCCTGCAAGAATTACTCCTATAACTGACTATAATCACTCCTATAACTGACTATAATCACTCCTATAACTGACTATAATCACTCCTATAGCTGACTATAATCACTCCTATAACTGACTATAATCACTGACTATAATCACTCCTATAACTGACTATAATCACTGACTATAATCACTCCTATAACTGACTATAATCACTCCTATAACTGACTATAATCACTCCTATAACTGACTATAATCACTCCTAACTGACTATAATCACGCCTATAACTGACTATAATCACTCCTATAACTGACTATAATCACTCCTATAACTGACTATAATCACTCCTATAACTGACTATAATCACTCCTATAACTGACTATAATCACTCCTATAACTGACTATAATCACTCCTATAACTGACTATAATCACTCCTATAACTGACTATAATCACTCCTATAACTGACTATAATCACTCCTATAACTGACTATAATCACTCCTATAACTGACTATAATCACTCCTATAACTGACTATAATCACTCCTATAACTGACTATAATCACTCCTATAACTGACTATAATCACTCCTATAACTGACTATAATCACTCCTATAACTGACTATAATCACTCCTATAACTGACTATAATCACTCCTATAGCTGACTATAATCACTCCTATAGCTGACTATATCACTCCTATAACTGACTATAATCACTCCTTAGCTGACTATAATCACTCCTATAACTGACTATAATCACTCCTATAACTGACTATAATCACTCCTATAACTGACTATAATCACTCTATAACTGACTATAATCACTCCTATAACTGACTATAATCACTCCTATAACTGACTATAATCACTCCTATAACTGACTATAATCACTCCTATAACTGACTATAATCACTCCTATAACTGACTATAATCACTCCTATAACTGACTATAATCACTCCTATAACTGACTATAATCACTCCTATAACTGACTAATAATCACTCCTATAACTGACTATAATCCACTCCTATAACTGACTATAATCACTCCTAACTGACTATAATCACGCCTATAACTGACTATAATCACTCCTATAACTTGACTATAATCACTCCTATAACTGACTATAATCACTCCTATAACTGACTATAATCACGCCTATAACTGACTATAATCACTCCTATAACTGACTATAATCACTCCTATAACTGACTATAATCACTCCTATAACTGACTATAATCACTCCTATAACTGACTATAATCACTCCTATAACTGACTATAATCACTCCTATAACTGACTATAATCACTCCTATAACTGACTATAATCACTCTATAACTGACTATAATCACTCCTATAACTGACTATAATCACTCCTATAGCTGACTATAATCACTCCTATAGCTGACTATAATCACTCCTATAACTGACTATAATCACTCCTATAACTGACTATAATCACTCCTATAACTGACTATAATCACTCCTATAACTGACTATAATCACTCCTATACTGACTATAATCACTCCTATAGCTGACTATAATCCTCCTATAACTGACTATAATCACTCCTATAACTGACTATAATCACTCCTATAGCTGACTATAATCACTCCTATAACTGACTATAATCACTCCTATAGCTGACTATAATCACTCCTATAACTGACTATAATCACTCCTATAACTGACTATAATCACTCCTATAACTGACTATAATCACTCTATAACTGACTATAATCACTCCTATACTGACTATAATCACTCCTATAACTGACTATAATCACTCCTATAACTGACTATAATCACTCCTATAACTGACTATAATCACTCCTATAACTGACTATAATCACTCCTATAACTGACTATAATCACTCCTATAACTGACTATAATCACTCCTATAACTGACTATAATCACTCCTATAACTGACTATAATCACTCCTATAACTGACTATAATCACTCCTAACTGACTATAATCACGCCTATAACTGACTATAATCACTCCTATAACTGACTATAATCACTCCTATAACTGACTATAATCACTCTCTTAACTGACTATAATCACGCCTATAACTGACTATAATCACGCCTATAACTGACTATAATCACTCCTATAACTGACTATAATCACTCCTGTAACTGACTATAATCACTCCTATAACTGACTATAATCACTCCTATAACTGACTATAATCACTCCTATAACTGACTATAATCACTCCTATAACTGACTATAATCACTCCTATAACTGACTATAATCACTCCTATAGCTGACTATAATCACTCCTATAACTGACTATAATCACTCCTATAACTGACTATAATCACTCCTATAACTGACTATAATTCACTCCTATAACTGACTATAATCACTCCTATAACTGACTATAATCACTCCTATAACTAACTATAATCACTCCTATAACTAACTATAATCACTCCTATAACGGACTATAATCACTCCTATAACGGACTATAATCACTCCTATAACTGACTATAATCACTCCTATAACTGACTATAATCACTCCTATAACTAACTATAATCACTCCTATAACTGACTATAATCACTCCTATAACTGACTATAATCACTCCTATACTGACTATAATCACTCCTATAACTGACTATAATCACTCCTATAACTGACTATAATCACTCCTATAACTGACTATAATCACTCCTATAGCTGACTATAATCACTCCTATAACTGACTATAATCACTCCTATAGCTGACTATAATCACTCCTATAACTGACTATAATCACTCCTATAGCTGACTATAATCACTCCTATAACTGACTATAATCACTCCTATAACTGACTATAATCACTCCTATAGCTGACTATAATCACTCCTATAACTGACTATATTCACTCCTATAGCTGACTATAATCACTCCTATAACTGACTATAATCACTCCTATAACTGACTATAATCACTCCTATAACTGACTATAATCACTCCTATAGCTGACTATAATCACTCCTATAACTGACTATAATCACTCCTATAGCTGACTATAATCACTCCTATAACTGACTATAATCACTCCTATAACTGACTATAATCACCCTATAACTGACTATAATCACTCCTATAGCTGACTATAATCACTCCTATAACTGACTATAATCACTCCTATAGCTGACTATAATCACTCCTATAACTGACTATAATCACTCCTATAACTGACTATAATCACTCCTCCTTTTTATTCTTCTTGTACACAAATTTTGTCAGAACTGGTTATTGACTCCATTATGACTTTGTTTTTCCGATCATTTCGGCTCTTTTGATCTGCTGTTGATTCTAACAAATGATTCTGTTTCATTTACACTAAAACCTGAAACAGTGACTGTAAAACTGCTGTACTGTGTGTGTGTGTGTGTGTGTGTGTAGGTCAGCTCCAGGCTAACGCGTACTGTGAGAATCCAGATATTGTTCTTGTGGGTAATAAAGCCGATCTGTCCGACCAGAGAGAAGTTCAGGAGAAACAAGCAAAAGAACTCGCGGACAAGTACGGGTGAGTTCAGTCTCTGATCGCTCTTGAATCGGTCCTCCTGGAGAGTTTTCTTCTGCTTGGCCAGATAGAAATGAATACTAAATATTGATGATTATTATTATATCATTAATGTAGCTCAAGCAGTATATCATGGTGCGAATACAACGCCAAGCTCATGGGTTTGATTCCCAGGTACTGAACTGTGTAACTTCAGCACAATGTAAGTCACTTTGAATGAAAGCATTTGCCAAGAAAATGCATTAAAAAAAAATTTTGTGCATAAATATTAATAGTAAAATACAAATTATTGTGATTTCTGCAATTATATGTACATCATATGTATTTACTTATTATATATTATTATTATTGTATCTTTCCTACATCACAATGTTTTGATTTACTTGTATTTATTATATACAAGTAAATCATACAATATACTGTACAAATACACTCACCTAAAGGATTATTAGGAACACCTGTTCAATTTCTCATTAATGCAATTATCTAATCAACCAATCACATGGCAGTTGCTTCAGTGCATTTAGGGGTGTGGTCCTGGTCAAGACAATCTCCTGAACTCCAAACTGAATGTCAGAATGGGAAAGAAAGGTGATTTAAGCAATTTTGAGCGTGGCATGGTTGTTGGTGCCAGACGGGCCGGTCTGAGTATTTCACAATCTGCTCAGTTACTGGGATTTTCACGCACAACCATTTCTAGGGTTTACAAAGAATGGTGTGAAAAGGGAAAAACATCCAGTATGCGGCAGTCCTGTGGGCGAAAATGCCTTGTTGATGCTAGAGGTCAGAGGAGAATGGGGCGACTGATTCAAGCTGATAGAAGAGCAACTTTGACTGAAATAACCACTCGTTACAACCGAGGTATGCAGCAAAGCATTTGTGAAGCCACAACACGCACAACCTTGAGGCGGATGGGCTACAACAGCAGAAGACTCCACCGGGTACCACTCATGTCCACTACAAATAGGAAAAAGAGGCTACAATTTGCAAGAGCTCACCAAAATTGGACAGTTGAAGACTGGAAAAATGTTGCCTGGTCTGATGAGTCTCGATTTCTGTTGAGACATTCAGATGGTAGAGTCAGAATTTGGCGTAAACAGAATGAGAACATGGAACCATCATGCCTTGTAACCACTGTGCAGGCTGGTGGTGGTGGTGTAATGGTGTGGGGGATGTTTTCTTGGCACACTTTAGGCCCCTTAGTGCCAATTGGGCATCGTTTAAATGCCACGGCCTACCTGAGCATTGTTTCTGACCATGTCCATCCCTTTATGGCCACCATGTACCCATCCTCTGATGGCTACTTCCAGCAGGATAATGCACCATGTCACAAAGCTCGAATCATTTCAAATTGGTTTCTTGAACATGACAATGAGTTCACTGTACTAAAATGGCCCCCACAGTCACCAGATCTCAACCCAATAGAGCATCTTTGGGATGTGGTGGAACGGGAGCTTCGTGCCCTGGATGTGCATCCCACAAATCTCCATCAACTGCAAGATGCAATCCTATCAATATGGGCCAACATTTTTAAAGAATGCTTTCTGCACCTTGTTGAATCAATGCCACGTAGAATTAAGGCAGTTCTGAAGGCGAAGGGGGGGGGGGGGGGTCAAACACAGTATTAGTATGGTGTTCCTAATAATCCTTTAGGTGAGTGTATACAACATTGTATACAATATTTAAAAATCTCATGAATGAATGAATGATTCAAAGACGAACACATTTTTAGTCACTTTTTAGTCAAATTAGAACACATTTCAAGTTACTTTCAATAGACATTTGAATGATTCAATAACTCGCTCATATAGACATTTGAATGATTCAATGACTCGCTCATATAGACATTTGAATGATTCAATGACTCGCTCATATAGACATTTGAATGATTCAATGGCTCGCTAATATAGACATTTGAATGATTCAACGACTCACTCATATAGACATTTGTTCAATGGCTCGCTCATATAGCCATTTGAATGATTCAATGACTCGCTCATATACACATTTAAATGATTCAATGACTCTCTCGTATAGACATTTGAATGAATCAATGACTCGCTCAAATAGACATTTGAATGATTCAATGACTCACACATTCTTTAACAGTCACTTGTTGCGTCAAGTTACTTTCAAAAGGCAATTTACTCTGAATGATTGTGAGCCAGAAATAATGAAACTGTGTGGTTGAAAAGACTGTTTGTGAAGCTGATTCATATCTACACATGACAACGGCTCTCTCAGGATCTGAATGTTCGCTGTGATTTTATCAAAGGTTTAATAGACACAGGAGAATCACTGTCACTTTCCATGTGTGTGTGTGTGTGTGTGTGTGTGTGTGAGAGAGAGTCCAGCTTCATCTCTGATGTGTGTTTGTGTTTGCATCGTCTCCTCCTCCCAGCATTCCCTACTTCGAGACGAGTGCGGCCACCGGTGCGGAGGTGGACAAGGCCGTGGTCACGCTACTGGACCTGGTGATGAAGAGGATGGAGCAGTGTGTGGACAAACCCGCGGCCGACACACACAACACGGACGGCACCAGCAAACTGGACGCTGCGCCGGCCAACGAGAAGAAATGTGCATGTTAAAGACGCAGGCAGTGGCCTTCCTCTAGCGGACCGTCTCAGAGCGCCGGCATCTCGCACGCCCCGTCTGACCCACTGTATTACATGTGTGTGTGTGTGTGTGTGTGTGGACATGTGTATTTCTCATCGGAGAGTTTGTGAGAGCTGTCGTACTGCCTCGTGATCTTTAACAAACCCTGACAAATTGATCCCGGATAACTTAATAAACTATTTGCAAATGCATCTCAAGTTTTGAATAATTAACGAGTCTCTTATTCTCAGCAAGACGGCGTTTATTTGATCAGAAATCCAGTAAAAACTGTGAAATATTAGTATAGTTTAAATCGGCTGTTTTCTATGTGAATATATAGTAAAGTGTAATTTATTCCTGTGATTTTCAGCATCATTACTCCAGTCGTCAGTGTCACATGATCCTTCACAAATCACTGTAATATGATGATTTGATGCTCATTAACATATTTATGATTATTATCAGTTGAACATTTTTCAGGATTCACTTTTGATCAATTTAATGCGACCTCACTTAATAAAAGTATCCTTACCCCAACCTTTTGAATGGTAGTGTATCACGGTTTCCACAAAAATATGAACAGTTTTCAACATTGATAATAATCATAAATGTTTCTTGATCATCAAATCATCATATTAGAGTGATTTCTGAAGGATCATGTGACACCGAAGACTGGAGTAATGATGCTGAACGTTCAGCTTTGATCACAGAAATAAATTACACTTTACTAAATATTCACAGCTATTTAAAATTTTTAAAAAATATTTCATATTTTTGATGAAATAATGCAGCTTTGGTGAGCAGAAGAGACTCTTTCAAAAGCGTTAAAAGAAATCTTAATCATTGAAAACGATTGACCAGTTGATCTTTTGATCTTATGTCAGAAAATCCCAAATCCTGATGTGGCGAAAGCTAAGATATTATGCACCATAATCTCAATTGGACATCTAAATGAATGTACATACAAAAATATATACAGCATCTGTTTTCTGCATTCATATATGGGTCATATGAACCGTGATCACGCCTGTAGAACGGTCTAGAAACGGTTTGTGCCAAACACTATTACACTGCCTGCCGGAGTGGGTCTTTGGTGGATGAAGCCTGTGCATGTCTACAGGCCAAAGAGACGCTTCAGCTTCTGAATGTCCATCGTTTTATTGAGTGTTTGAGATGCTGTCGTGTCTCGTGATGATGCGTGTCTGTGCATGCGGCCAACAGTAGGTTCACTCGCGGCTTTAGACGTCTCTCACACAACCACACCTGGGTTTTTAACATGACTCGTGTTATTAAACGACTGGAGCTCGATCACCCACAGACCTCTGGAGGATTGCAGATTGAATTTTTTAGATTGTGTTCACATGAGAGTTACCGAACGGTAGAACGTAGAGATTGATGCAAACAAATAATTATGGTGTGTTTATATATGTGTTTGTGAGCGGCTCTAACACACTTCTGTATGGAAGATTGTTTTCACCACAGAATCAAAAAAAAAAAAAAATCTATAAAGTTTATATCTCCAGGGTTATTATCATTAACTAAAACTATTAAATAAAGATGAAATAAAATGTAAATATTAGTTGAAAACTTAAAGAATTTGAGTTTAGTTTAAGCACTAAAATTAACAAAAATAACATTTTATTTGATCTAAATAGCCATTTTAAAAAATAATAATACATTTACATAATGAAATTACAAAAAAATGTACCACAATTAACACGAAAACTAAAAATATAAGACAACTAAAATATTAATAAAAGTGAAATAGAAGGCTAAAATCTCACAATTCTGACTTTATAACTTGCAACTGGGAGTTTATATCTCACATTTGTGATCTACACTTGCAATTTCAAGAAAACCAATTGTGAGATAAAAAGTTGCTTATTTATTTTTTATTCCGTGACAGAAACAAGCTTCCATACTTCTGAAGATTTGAAAGAAATGAAATGGCCAGCGACACTTTTTAATGCATCTGTGTTCGAAAGACAATATCCTGAAAACACATCCAGATCATATTTCAGCCCACACTCAAAAGCATTAGGATGTTTGTTTTGCATTGTGACATTATTTTCACACATTGTCAAACTCTCATTACTGTAAGTGTGTGAGTGCTTGACTTTATTCTGTTTCTTATAACTCCTATAATACAGTGTTTCATTTTTGTTTACAGTAAATCAGCAAAAAGGCAGTACAACATATTATCCTGTTGTTCAATTAAATGCATCTTTTTTCTTTTCTTTTTTATCATTGCAGTAATGAGAATTTGGAGGTATTTTTTAAAACTGTGAAATTGTTTATAGGCAAAGAAATCTTGGTCCTAATATGATAATAGGCTTCATTTTAATGCAAAATATGTTTTAAGAATTTGGCATGAAATAATACTAGGACTTGGATGTGTTCTTGTACAGCCAGATTAATATAAATTTCCTTCAGTTTTTTCTTGTGTGTGAATATAAAAACATGTCCAGGTCAAATTTCACCCTAAATTCAAAACCATTAAGATGTTTTGCACTGTGATATTATTTTAATGACAGTTAAACACGTCTTCATAAATGTTTTACTTTTGATTTCTCATTACTGTGATAAAAATAGGTTTCATACTGGTAATGCAAAATATAATGTTTTTTTTTTATCATATAAGTTCAGGGTGAAATATGACCTGGACATGTGCTTGACAGGTTTGGTGAGATTCATATTGTTATGATTATTTAACGGTCTGTATTAGAGCTCAAAATTATTGATAAGGTTTCTAGAGTTTGATGTTTTGATTCGTAAGGCCCATTCACACCAATAATGATAACTAAAAAGATCATTATTATAATGATATCAGTGTCCATCGTTGCTTATTCTAAGCGCACGCCGCAGTTTTTCCGTCTGTAGCTTTAAATGTTCGCGCCCTTTAAAGCAGGATGGATTCTGATTGGCTGTCAGCGTCTTTAACGGTTATCAGCTGGTGAAAAACAGAGAGATTCAAACCATATCGTTTCTCTTTGTCGTTATTGTTATGCGGTGTGGACTCTGCTATTCTTTTATATTTAGATAACTTGTAGTTATCGTCCTTTGTGTGAACGGGCCTTTAACACGGTTTTATTTCTGTCCTCCGGTGCCAAATCATCCCGTGCCATAATAATCACCTCAGATCCTCATGATTCACGTCATAAAGACACTCGCAGTGAGTATTTGATGAGTGTGTGTGTGTGTGTGTGTATGGAACGAATGATCGCACATGCCTTTAAATGTGACAATCTCTGGACCAACATTTCTGTTTGAAGAACATTAAGATTAGCTTTTGTGTTTCTACTGAACTTCTGCTTGGCCTTGAACAGAGCCGCGTCTCTTGAGCTTCTCGTGTGTTTAGTACCTCATGTGGTTTAAGGAATGGCTTTATGACAAGTGATGTTGTTCTCTTAAAAGTTTACATTGAAGGATTTTCTCTCCTTGTGCCTGTAAAGATCAACTGACCAACGACACGCTTCCCGAGTCTTTAATAGGGTCCTGAACTCCTAAGCTAGTTTAACGCATTACAAGTATATTTGGCAAAATAAAGCAGAAAAGAACACAAAGAACTGAACTGTAACTGTAAAGCAGGTCAAAAAATCAACTTCAGATTTCTTTGAGAGCGTTTATTTTTTGTTATGCGTGTAACATGTTACTAAAGAATAAAGAGGAAAAATGCACTTGGGTTTTTTTCTTTCTTTTTTTCCTGTGTGAATAATGAAATGTGGTCCATGTTGTACCTTCTCTGTGTCATTAACTGTCCACGTACCTGTAGTAACCAGAATGAATAAAGCCATGGTTGCAAAGTTTTGGAACCATGAATGTTTTTCACGGCAAGGTGAACAGTAAAATGTTTATCTAATACTTCAATCATGATTAGCTACATTAAGAATTGTAAACTTTTTGTACTAAAAGTTTTCTAAAATGGTGTTTAACTCTTTCCCCGCCATTGACAATGTTTCAGCAATCCATGTTTCCACTGTTATACGGAGGGGGCGCAAAAGTGATAGAAGCATTGCTTAAAGGGGGGGTGAAACACTCAGTTTCACTCAATCTCATGTTAATCTTGAGTACCTATAGAGTAGTATTGCATCCTTCATATCTCCAAAAAGTCTTTAGTTTTATTATATTTATAAAAGAAAGATAGGCTGTACCGAGTCTTTCCGGAAAAACCCGAGCGGGTGGAGGCGTGCCGTGTGGGCGGAGCTAAATAATCACGACACGAGCGCGCGAAGCTTTTGCGTTGAGAGCGTCTGGAAGCTGTGAGTGACATCCGAAAATAAACCATGGCTAACAATCAGATAGTAATCCCACGCAGAACAAGGATCTAAACAATACTAAGGGCTCGTTCATACAGAACGCGTTTTTGCTCACAAAAACGTGAGATGGGCAGTGAAATGCATGGGTGAAAACCATAAGGTCTCGAGCGTTTTAAAAAAAAAAATAGAAATGATTTGAACTTGAGCGCAGTGTTTTTAGAACACCATGTCATGCGCGAGTTTTATAACATTTGTGTGTTGTAAACAGACAGACTCGTGGTTTATGAGGACATGATTTATTTTTACAATAAACAAACTGACACCTACAGTGGCCAGCTAAACAAATGTATTTAAACACACACACACACCATACATCGCATGCTCCATAGATATACATTAACTGTATGTGATCATGTTGTTTACTTGCTGTGCTTACACGCCGATAGTTAACAACTCACAGACATTTGAAGCAGTTTTACTCACCGCCTGCGGTTCCAACGCACGACCGTGAACCTTTATCGTTGGGACTCCTCCATCTTAAAAGTATTAGGCGATCTGCAAATCCGGCGTTGAACTGGGCCTTGTTTATAAAACTATTACCGTCGAAATAAAGGGAACAAACAAAAACACTTGCACAACTCCGTTGCTGCTCTGGAAAAACAAAATCCATCCACTGGTCCCTTAACGCTGGGTTCTTTGGAAATTTGTGCAGTGTTGTCTTGCCCTTTTTTAAATTGCAGCGCAGCCGACCGAGCCCAGCGCTCTGATGGGCATAGGCGTACTCTCGCACGCACTAGGCTACAGATGCGCGCGCCCTTCCGGGAGAAGTGCCCTTAAGACCCGTATAAGGAAATTCCGGCCACTCTGACGTCACACACGCCCGTATTCGAAAAAAACTTTCCGAAACTTGTGACAAACCGGAAGGAGTATTTTTGGAACAGAATTACTCCATCAAACTTACAACTTCATTTTT